GTCCCTCCTGATCAGTACCCTAAGGCCTTCCTTTTAGCATCCATGTTGAAGCAAAGCATGATTAATGCAGAATTTAATTATACACCAAATGTGAAAATGGATTATGCTATCAGTTTTAGAGCATTTGGCATTGTTAACGCGCCCACGGTGTAAAAATCTCTTAGTTCTGATCCAGAAGATTGTCGTTCAGCCTCTTTTTCTGTGTTGTCATTGTGGTCTTAACTAATTCTGACTCTGCACAGTGTTACCCATGACTATTCACGTAAACAACAAAGGCCTCCCCTCAACTCCAATGGAACATCTCCTTGATCACTTCAGCAAAGTGCTTCTTCATAGGGCACTTAATGCTTTGAATTAATAGTCACTGCAATTGAATGTGATGGCAGCTTGAATTTTAACCTGAGCTGCAAGCATCAAAACACATGGTTGCGCAGCATCTATTTTCAAGTATAAACTCAGATAATGGAAGTCATACTGTTTAAGACTTCCTCTTTCATATCGAAAACAACAATTGCAGGCCAGTGGCGGGTTTGGCCTTTTGAAAGCACCAGTAAGGTTGCTGATGTCTTCCTTTTTTTTCTGTGAAATTGTGAGACCACATTCAAGACTGATTTCCTCAAGAGGCCAATTTACATTTCATAAAGTCGAGCAACAAGCATTAAAGGCGCAAGCTAAAGGAGACGGCAAGAGAAAGAGACAGACGTCTTTTAGAAAGGAGGGCTGAAGAAGCGTGGGTTTTGTCTGGATCTCTCTCTCCCAGGCATTCGACTCCTGGTCCCACCCCCCATCCCCACTGTAGTTTAAAGAACACTTTGAGGAGTTTTCACATACGACGGCTTCTGAGATTCTGAGGGAATCTCATTGGCAGTCAGAGCGAGACCCAGGCGTCACCCTTCAGGTTAACTGTAGGTGAGAGAAACGCTTGCCTGGAGCAGGCTCACTGGAAGCTGAATGACTGGCCCCCAGGGTGGAGGGGAAGTCAGGAGGAGGGGGGAGGTGGGGGGATTCTTTGGCAGAACGCTGAAGCCTGCAGGCCTTCATCTTCATTTCAATGCAAAACTACTTTGTCATATAATCTCTGCAGTGACTACGGCTCTGAGTGAGGAGCGCTGAGTAGAAACATAATAGGAATAGTAAAGCACACGAAGAGGGGAGAGAGGAGGGCTGGGAAGAAAGTGACAGGGAGAAAGAAAGAGCAGGAACAGCAAGAGAGAAAGGACAGTAAGAACTAACAAGCCACCGAGAATTGATTCCTGAATAAACAGAATTTGACAAAAGCCCGGCTCCCCTTTAGTCGTCACCCATCTTTATTCCTGCTTGCCAGATTGTAGCAGGTCATTGTTTGTCTTTCACTCCATCTGAGGATGCGCCGGGGGACTCTGGGGGTCTTGACTTGACAACCAATCAGGCCGCGCTAATGAAAACCTGGCCCGGCGGTAAACAGGAAGACAAAAGACTGTGCACTATGGTCACAGAGGACGGTACAATACCAAGATGCTGGGACGTTTTCACAAAAACAGCTGAAACAATGGAGAAGGCACTTAGCTGACTTGAAGTTGATGCAGTGGCCTTAGTAGCCTCATGAGTTCTCCCTCGACTTTCAGCAGATAAAACTTGAGGGCAGCAAATCAAACTCGCTGAAACATTAAGCCTGCCACGGTTATTTTACTGCCGCCATTGAATTTCTGTTAATTTCTCTTGTCTTAAAGGTTATTGCCTCATGTCGTCAAATTACCGCAGAAGACTTTGAGGTAATTGTACCAACCTTTATAATAAGACTTTAGTGCAAGTAGCAAGTTTGTTTGTTCTTGTGTAATTTGCAAGTAAAATGTTGCTTTCAATGCCACATCTTTGACAAGCTCATTGACCTTCTGTTCGATGAAATCATATGATATACCCCTAAAACCTTCCATAAACGGAATCCTACTTAAACGTCCAACATAGATCTTTCTCTTTCTCTCCTCCCCCTTCTCTCCCATACTCATTCACATTCACCTTTTCTAACCTCAGTATAGTATTTTGTCACTGTCATGCCCATCTCATGCCCCCCCATCCAAGGATGGGAGCAAAGGGGTTGCTCATGCACCACACCAGGCATTCTCTAGACTCGGCCCACAGAGCATGTGGCTGTGACGCCGATATGGAGAAGTCGTTCAGCTGAGAATCCTGTCTATCCTGTGAGAAGCATCTTGATGTTCTGCCCTCTGCTACTGCTCCTTGCCTTTCCCTCTCTTTAACATGTCTCTCCTTTGCATAAGCCCTCATAAGGCACCTATAACATGCCGTGATGAAGTTGTTAACCTTTCCGTGACATGCCTCGACTCTATGTGCTAGACGTTTGGACACGTATTCCACTCATGCCTTGCTCAACCGCGACCATCGGCGCATAAAATGAGCCCTGAGTCTCTCCAGTGATCTCTGAATTCAAGGGATGAGCGACTGCTCTGCATGTGAATGCTGTCTTAAGCTGCCTCTGCACCTTCATGCAGTGGTTACGTGGTGAGATGGAGCAGCCTGGCTACGACTTTTCAAAAAGAAAGATGGAGCGATTTCCGTTCCAGTTGCAGTTACACTGAAGCATTAACAACTACATATAATATTACATTTTTCAGTGTTTATTGAGTCCACACTTTCATTACAGCTTGTTTTTGGGAGATTTGCTTTCAGTTTTCCAAGAGATCTGCAAGGATTTTCAAAGTAGAGTCTTAGAAGTTGGTTGCATTTTCTGCTTCTTACAGTCCAAGTAATCCAAGTTTTTTAAGTTTGATCAGCAAATTTTAGTTTGACTTGCAAATGTTCTTGTCAGTAGCTTTGTTACAGATTTTTTCAGATCCAAACCAAAAGTGGAGCTTGATTTTCTCCTCTCTCTCAAAGATGAAAGCTTTGAGTGCTGTTTATCTGACGGTGACAGTTTTGGTGTTCGCCAGGTCTCGCATGGTTGTCAAGAGTTCCATTTTTTTTTAAAAATTTAAGAAGTTTTGAACTCCAGTTTTGGGAACTCCTGTTTTTCCCCTTATTTTCATATGATTTCCCCTTTCCTTATGCAAGCTGATTATCTTATATCTAATCTCAGCAATATTATGTTAGATATTATGTTTCCTCCATATCTTCATCATCATTGGCCTGGTACTGCAAGCATTTCCTGAGGAGAGAAGAAAGAACAGTCAGTCAGATCGTGGTCACGAGAACTAACCAACGTTTGGGGACATCTTGGCTTCAATTAAGTCAGAACAGACTACCTGCCAATTGCAGATTTTGCAAAGAACAGATTAATTTAATCCCAAACACATCTACACAGACTTCAGAAGTTTCTGATCTGCAAAGTTACGGCCATAAATCAACAGTCTGTCTGTTCGCGTCTGTAAATCCATTTGTCTGTAAACGTGCTTGTGTGATTTGATTCTGAGCCTGAGAAGTCTATATTTCACATTTTGGTGTTATGTGGCTCATCACCCACCTGAAACAAATGGTTACCTCGCTTTGGAATTTTGTGGGCTACAGTCGGGTTCAAACAGAATTTTCACTTTTGGGTGGACTCTGACGTTACTGATGTTGTTGTTTTTAATATACCCAGCTTCAGTTAGCTGCAACATAGCCTAGGTCGGCAGGGTAGCATTTTAACCCACTGGGGTCCACAAACTTGCCCGGATGTGAAATTCGATGTGTTGTATATGTTTCTCTAGAAAATATGGTTAAAACATGTCTGTATCTGTAGAGTCGCCCTTCCATCTTATCACAAGATCGTACATGACACATCCAGACTAATCAGGCTATGAAGAGGGGTTGAGGTACACGTCACTTACCTGCCTCATCTGAAACTCTTTTCCTTATTCAGTCAACATCGGAGACAAATGTGAAATGATGTGCAAAAGGTTTACAGCTGCTGAAGTTGCTGCAGCAGTTTTGAAAAGTAGCGACAAAGATAATAGACCATTTTGATATGAAACATTTGAGTATCAAATGCCTTTTCTTATCTTTAAGAAGATATGCAAAAAGCAAGAAAATGCCTTTAGATCCAGAGGGTTAAACAGAAACTCGACATTATGAAGCAACTATAACAAATAAATAATAAAAATGCATAATGAATAATTTACATATTTCTGTAGTTTACCATTTGGTCAAATGGTTTTTTGACCAGCGTTCTGTAAAACAGAAACCTCGCAGCACTCCCTGTGAATAAACATTTTTGGGCGGAGCATGGATAGATCCGTCGGAACGCTCCCCAGCCCCCAAGGCTGTGTAATCTCGCTCCCAGCCGCTGCTCAGTGTGCAGCATGAGGGGCTGACGAATGACCCAGAGAGACGGCTGAGCTCTGGCATAGCAATGGTCATCATCAGGTCATCTGAAAACATTCAGAGCTCTTTTATCTCTGCTCCAAGAGGCCAGTCGGGATGCATACCTCTGGGTCAGCCCCATCCTTTGCAGGCAGGGCTTGACTGAGTGAGGGTGTGTAATGCTGGGCAGCAATCACAGTTAATTATGCTGTTTCGTGGATTTTCAACAGAGTCCATTTTTACAAGGATTAGCAAGTCAGGCTGTTATAGTATAGCAGAACAAATTGAGAAACTCACCATGCTTGGATACATTTTCAAGCATACGGTACAGTTGATGGACTAGAGAATGTGAAGAGTGGCGTCAGCGAGGGACCTCATGAAAACCCCTAGCTGAGGGTCTGCTGAGGCCGTATTTTTGTAACATCAGTCGAAGGTTATGCTCCCTAAAGTGTGATCAAAGTACCCATGTCTCCCCAGCACAATAAAGGGAAAAGATTACTTGTCCTAAACGCAACTTCCCCGCAAAGTGGAGAATGAAACATTCGAAGCTAAAGCCATTGACGTCGCCGTCATTTCGCTCACTGCTCTTTCGAGTGTGACAGACTTTTGCTTTGTTTACCTTGATGTTATCAACAGGTGAATACGTGAGTTTTTGAAAGTAAGATCAAGGAGCGTGCCAGTGCTGGATAAAAATCTGAAGTTCTCTTGTTTTCCTTTTATTCCAGGAGATTGCTGCCTACTTGATATCATTTGAAAAGCATGAAGAGTGGCTAACGACATCCCCTAAAACAAGGTAAGGCATCTCACTCTACTACCTCGAGTGTGCAGGTATGGGCGCTTCTTAAGAACACAATATATTAACACCTCACCTGAAGGGCGAAGTAGCTCCTCTTTTTACAGCCAACAATTTCTGCGCTTTTTGGTAGGATGTCCAGACAGATAATGGAATATTAATGGCCACTTATGATGTGAGATGTGGCCAGGCCTATTAGCGTAATGCTCTCTTTTCTCACTAGTGCCATTAATGTGGGTGTTAATGTGTCGGGCTCGCACAACATATCATTCCATCAGTGAGAGGCCTCAACACAAAAATTAAAGTTTTTACTTGATCTGTGGCAATAATGAAAATGGTTTTTGCTCTTAATGCTAATTCTATGTCTATCATAAAATATTCTAACAGTAATGATACAATTGTAGGCTGGGTAGAGGCTGAGACAGTTGCTATATTTTGTATAACTGGTGCATGTTTCAGAGAGGAAATAGCGCCAGCTGAAATGTTTTGATGTCTTTTAGCTGCAAAAAATTAGATCTATACTTAAATGTTTTACAGTATACTGTGATTCAAAATTAGCGTACAATTAACAAGTGCATTTAAATGTAGCAGTTCCATTAAAACAGAAAAGTGAAGCTGTATAGATTCAAATATTTAAGCAGTGAATATGTACAGTATATGCAGTGTGGAAACTGTACTCAGAATAAGCAGCAGAAAGCTTGAGTAGAAAATCAGAGGGAAACAAATGTACACAAACCGCCACTGGGGACATTTTGGGTCTAAGCAGTGTTTACATGAGTCAGTGGCCTGGGGTTACCTGTCTGGTGCTTGGCCCCGTCATTCACAGGACTGTGTATATATAACCGAACACAGAGGCCAAGTACTAAGATCATGGAACGTAGAAACAAACTTATTCACATTATGCTCCACCAGTTCCAGCACCAGAGTTTTTTTTTTGGCACATGTTTCAGCAATATTTAGAAACCCAGCACTAGTATTAGGCATAACAGTAATCAAGTGAGTCATAGCGTATACACTGAGTTGCCAGTTTATTAGGTCCGCCTACCTTGTACCTACACTCCCTGGCCATTTTGTAAGAAACGCCTACGATATAGGTGCACTTTGTAGGTGTACAGTTACAGACTGTAATCCATCTGTTGCTGCAAAGATTTGTTACCTTGCCCATTAATGGACTTAACTACCACTATTGGACCAACACAGTCCAGATATTATTTGTATGGTGGAGCATTCTCAGCACAGCAGTGGCACCAACATGGTGGTGGCATGGTAGTGTGTGTAGTGCTGGTATATGTGTATCTGAACAGCATTGCTGGTGTTGAACAAAGTGCACTTTCAATCTGTAGCACATTTGATGGTCATGACTCACACAAATTGTGGAAAGGAAAACAAACTGTAATTCTTCAAAGTATAAAAAGTGGCCAGTACAATATGTGAAACCCCAACAATCTGGTTCTTGATACTTATACCAGCTGGTGTGCATACCGTTACAATGCACCCTATCATGAGACCACCATGTCCTGAGAATAGTCCACCACTCAAATATCTTGTGGTCCTATGCTTAAGTGTAGGTATTTGTAATAAACTGGCAACTGAGGGTCAAATGTGTGTACGAAGGCAAGTGCAATGTAAAATGTGCTTAGATGCATCTAGGGCTGGGCGATAAAACGATAATGATAATTATCTGATTTAAGATAAGATAAGAAATGTTCTATAAATGTTCTATATAGTAGACCATTCTCACACTTCTACGTTTAGCGACTGCTCTGGTGGCATTCTCTACAGCAAGGAAAGCGACACTACTCTGCTGTCGCCACGAGAGGGCGCACTTCTGAGTTTTTCAACATGATTAGAGAGGGAGGAGGCAAGGAGTAAAATGAAATATACTTTAGCAACGTCTGAAACGTGGAGTTATATATTCCCTGTTTGAGTTGAGCGATCAGTGATCTGCTCTCCTGAGTGATGAGGTAAGTGGCGTAACTGTACCGTCCTACAGCGAACTCACTCCATCCTAACATCCTAACAAGTTTTAGCAGCGTTAAATCATGTCTGTTCCTCACAACTACAGCGCTGTTACAGCGCTCAGACAGTCATGTTTGAGTATTAGTGCATTCCCAAGCAACAAAAGTGAAAGAAAGAAGTGGGTTCATTCAACTTACAGTCCTGATTTAAACAAAAGTAAACGGAGGACTCTGTGTGGCATTGGAGAGTGGGAGAACGCTAGTTTCTAGGCTCTATCACTCGCACAGGTCGCGTGTTCTGACCATAAAGGATAGTTTGAAACAGCAATTGACCACTCAGGAGCCAAAATCAGCCTTCAAACTTGAAAGAAATAATGAATTGACATTTAGCTATATGTATCGATATCGACTGATATGAATTTTTTATCGTAATAACGTTTTTGGCCATATCGCCCAGCTCTAGATGCACCTGAAATTCATTTCTGATTTATTAAGGCTGTTGCTAACGAAACTGCATGTACGACAGCTTACTAACGGGCTTGCAATCTGTATAAAATGTGGTGACATACTAGAGCCGTCAAAGCTCAGGCCAAAAGTAAAAAATAAAAGTTTAGGGTCAAAATGTTAATGGTGCTAATACATTTCTGTCACACCACAACATTCTACAGTTCTACAGCAGCTAATTTAAAAACAATAACATGGATTGCAAGCACATATTGCGGCTTCTTCAAGACACTTTTTGTGCTGTGTCTGGTCCTGAGAGTTGATACAGTGTTATTTTTTCTTAGCACACACCTCTGTTTAGCTGCCGTCTGCTACAATAGTTAAAGTAAGTCTCCAAAAACACACCTACTACTAATAACAGACAATACTGCTCATAAGCGCCGGGGCTTAAAAGGCTAAGAACATTTTACACAAAACAGGCCATCATTGCTCATATGTTAGTAGTTCAGATGGAATGTGTAATCGACTACACTTCCAATATTTCCACCCATTTTCTGTGCAATCCTCCTATGATCCTCACTCAAATGCATATGTACGAGGGAGTTTTTCCATGCATGTGGTCCATAAACCACATATTTAGGCTTGTGTGCCAGTTTCATGTAAAACGTGGGCAGAATGCGTCTGATTTACACCTGAAACTAGCGTAAAAGGCTGAGTACATCAAGCCCTGAGTGTGTAGTTTAGCAGTAGCTCTCTTTTTTTGTTATATAGTATTACGTCCTCCGTCAGCACTAGAGCCACTGTGTAATGAGGTGGGAGAGAAATTTGATATAGTACAATATTGCAATATTTTCAGTTTGAAAAAGAGTATTAGTACATGTAGACCCAAGTACCAATATTTTATTATTTCATTTTGAATATCGCTTTTGTCAGAACAAAACATTGTATCTCCAAAATGATAACTTTACAGGACAAAGAAAAAAACATACTTTACTTTAAATGTAAGTCAACAGAACCAGATTTTTTTTTTCTAAGTCATTTTTGGCCATTTCTTTTGGTCCATTCATCATGACATTTCCACACAATGTAAAGGGCAACAGGTATTTTTAAGTTATGTCAAAAACCGGACAATGACAAAAAAGGAGATACAAGGTTTTGTTCTGACAACAGCAATAATTTTTATGGTTAATTGATAGAGTTCTAGATTACTACAATGCATTTCTTTCTTAATCCATGACATGTCAGCATTTCTTCCGTGTAAGTGCAAGGGTTTTGAGTGCAGCATTCCCAGGCACGGTTAGATAGCATAGTGGACAGAGCGCTTGGGAGAACGTGGTTCCTACCTTTTAGGAAGGGATGCAGGTAATAGTGCGACTAGATACCTATAAGAGTTACTGAAAGAGGCTTCTACACTACATTTGCTTGCTATTGTAAATTGCTCTAGAAAAAAGCATTTCTTTAATATGAAGGGATACAAATGTTTGTCTGCTTTATATATGAAAAAAAACATCTGCCAAATACAGGGTGATTCAAAAAGATTAATTCGATTTCAAAATGATGTATTTTACTTGTAAATCGTTACAGAACAATGCAGTAAACTGCAAATGGTTTAATTGAGCATAACGTTTATTATGTAATTTTACAAGTGCTCAATATGAACCTCCTCCAGCTGTACGGACAACACACGGCGTGAGATCTGGTGATGCTGGTGAACTTTTTCTTGGAACTGTTAGTACCAATCAGAACGCTCTGAGCTGTTGTAGGTTTACTGCCATACTGACAGTCATAACCTATATGATCCCCTCTTTCAATTGGTATTGTGATTGGTTCCTAGGCGCCACACGGTTATAAAAATATGACACTTTGAAATCGGATGAAACTTTTTGAATCACCCTGTAGATGAATGTAAGGCAGTTTTTAATGCTGATTTGTCAACATCGCAGTTCTGTTTTTCTGCACTAAAAATTATAAATACAAACTGCATTAAACGTTGAAACATTTTCTTTTGGAGGAATAATCTGCAATCAGAAATAATAACTTGCACTATATTGCAATCTATAAATAGCAGAATAGAATTGTGTGGTATCACGATAATATCGTATCGCGGGACCTGCAGCGATTCCCACCGCTATTGTTTGAGGACCATTTCAGCAAGTTTTCATTATGTCTGAAGACCAGTTTAATTTCGAAGCCGAGGGCAAAGGTTGAGCTCTGTGGGTCATGTGAGGTGATCATTTGCAGAAAGTTTTGATGATGAAATAGTAATGATATGATAACAGTGAGTGACAGCATGAGGACACAGCGCAGCAGGGAATAGACTGCTGGGTTGGCTGCACGACACACACACCGCACACACAGCCTTTCACCGCCCCCGGCCTGCCTTTACATAATGGGACTGATTTCAATGTGCGATTTGCCATGGCTGTTTAATGCAGCGAGTGGTTTTCCTGGTCTTAATGAAGCCACTGTTACTCGGGGCTGTCTTCAGGGGTCACAACCAGTGTGAGCTCCGACTCGCAGCGATGACTGGGGACATGCGGCAAACACCACCCCCACACACACTCTGGAGCAGTGATATTACCGCTGACATGCATACAC